TTCTCCGAACAATAGGGATAGTTCTGTTGTAAATCGAGATATATGTATGGAACAATACAAAGGTCCGGGATATTTAAACTTCCTTGCCTCATTGTTTTATTAAAAGAATTTCTGGTAGAATTTGTCATAAGGAAATGTTCACTGAGTTATTATATTGTTGTGAAGACAACGAGGTGATTTACGGAGCTTGAGCGTTTTCGATAATTGTGGTTTACTCAGTCAGAAGGTTTTCGGCATTTCACCATCTTCAACAGGAAAATATGGATACTCTAGATCAAGAAGGTCTTGAAGAAAAATGCAAACTCAGTTGTTACTACCAAACTTTCAACCTATTTTAAGGTCATCATCAGGGCAAAACAATCTTAAATATGTCTACAGATTGACTTTTTTTATGGGCGAAGACCTTGAAGACCCCTGACAGGTTGACACTATAACAGTGCTGCCTGTTATACTATTACAGTCCTTAGCAAAGAGTCTTCAAGGAAGAGTGAAATCGCCTGAAAAAAAATTAAATATGTCAATTTGTAGACATATTTAAGATTGTTTTGCCCTGATGATGACCTTAAAATAGGTCGAAAGCTTCGCAGCAACTGATTTTTTTTTCAAGGTCATATCTTAATCCAGAGTATTCATGAGTGAAAAAGAGGTCGAATATTCTAGCATTGAAAAGGTGAATTATGAAACATAACAGCCTATACGAACAAACAGGTTAACCACTGAAGATGCTGAAATGCAATAAGCATCTGACATGCCAAAAAAACAAAATTGGATAACAAAGATGGTCGGAAACGACCAACCTACAATTTTTTCTGCTTTGTACATAAACAGATCAGTAAAAATGAAGCAAAGCAACCTGACAAGGAACTATACCAACTGATAATGGCACTATGCAAAAACACGTCTGGCAGACCAAAACAGCAAGGATTCGGTTAAAAAAGATGATCAGAAAGGACCAAAATACAATATTTTTCTAATTTGCACTTCAACTTACAACACTACTATCTACAGATCGATGATTATGACATATATAACAACCCACGAAAAAGACAATTAGACGAAATAACACGCCGGTTAACCACTGATGATGGTGAATTGCAAAATCGTGCTGGACATAACAAAATTTTAGGATTGGATAATAAATGCGGTCAGAAACGAGCAAAACTACATTTTTTTCTGCACTGCTCATTACAGATCGATGAATATCGAACTCAACAATATGTAAATAACGAAATAGACGAAATAACAAGCAGGTTTACTACTGAACATGATAAAATGCAAAACAACATGCAAAAAAAAGTAAATATAGGAAATAACAAACAGATTAACTACGAACATCTGACAGACTAAAATAGTGATGATTGGTTAAGAAAATAAAGTCAGAAACGAACAAACTAAAAAATCTATTTTGTACATAAATAGATCGATGGCGATGAAGCATAACAACCAGTAAAAATTGGGAAATAGACGCAATAACCAACAAGTTAACCACCGATTGTCAGATGCACAAACGAGTCTGACAGGCTAAAACAGTGAGAATGGTCAGAAACAACCGAACTAACCAAATTTCATTCAAGCCAAATGCTAAAAAGCGTCTAGCAGACAAAACTGTTTTTAATCCTTTTTGAAAAGTTGTTTGTTATTCACAATTTGTTTTATGATCAGGTTTTCAAGCTTAAAGCTATCATCAGGTTGAAGGATTTACAACCTGATGATGAGCTTTAAGCTTGAAATCCGGATCGTTGAAAACAACGAACTGTAAGATCCAACTTTTTATTAAAGATAACTCACCCAACCTTTATCATTTCTATAAAACTGTTTTTTTGTTTATTCTATTTACTAAATAGATCTATGATCATGTACCTTTGAACCTTGGACAGACCAGAAGGATGTACAGATGTACAATTCGTAAGATTGGTTAATCCTTTAGCTCACACACTTTCTAAATCTGTGACACATCGCTTACAAGCCAAATTCCTATTCGGTGATATCACACTTTACCCCTGGTTTAAAAAACTGAATAAACTCTTTGTTTTGACATTACATATTCATATTGTATCATTTGTCCATATTGTATCATCCATTGCAAAATTAGGCCGATTCAATCTGTTAAAGTTAAACATGCATTTTGTTTTGATTTTCTGGAACGAAGATCGGCGACAAAGCAGAACGTTATCGTGACAAATCTCCTTTGAGGGTGGTTAAAGATTCAATATATCGGCTCCCGGTTCACCCTCTTCTTATTTTTCCCCTCCCAGAAGGGGCTGTTTATAACTTTATAAGACAATCCCGTCTTGTAGGACGGGTCCGTGACTCCCTTTCACCCTAGCTAAGATAGGGAAAGATATTCCTCAGTTCTGGCCGTTATTATCTTTAATTTTAAATTTAATTTAAGGGGTCTTTTTAAACAATTGCCCAATTGTTATAACACATTGGCAAAAATGCGGTAAAGGACTTCAAAGAATAAGGAAGGCAAATACTTCATGGTAGATTAGGGTCGGGTTATTTCTTTCAACTTAAATCGCAGGATTTTAAATGAAACGAAAATTGTCTTTTACTGATAACTTATTTGATTTATCTTGCTTGCCACAAGAAAATACCTACTTTGTTATATGACTGCAAATCTGGAAAAAAATGTATACAGTGTATGGTATGGTATGGTATGGTGGAAAGGGTACTAGGAAGCGGGGTTTGTATTCCCCAGGCACTGCAGCCTTCTGGCTTATTGTACCTTCCCAGTTCCTTAGTTCAGTCAATAGACTCAATCCTTCTTCTTAGAAGTATCAGGTCATTGACTGTTGTTGCTGCAATTTGATTTCCTAAGTCTTTTCCGTACGTTAGGTTAAACCTGCATTGAGCTGTTGCTTCGCATTCGAAGATGATATGAGTGGCTCCTCCTCCTCATTACATTATCTGCAAATGGGATCATCGCTGTATATACCCATGTTGTGTAGATGTTTTCTCAGATACCAGTGACCGGTTAGTAGTCCCACCACCCCTCTGAGTTTTGCCCTCTCCAATTGCAGCAGTGTTTTTGCCAATCTTGGTGAGCGCTGTTTCATCATAAGTTTACTATGTCTAGCACCACTAGAGTTTATCCACTTCTCCTTTTGTTTTGCTTGGATCCATTCTGCGATGGAGGATTCTATGATAGTTTTTGTTATCCCAAGGATAGATTTGGGGCCTATGTATGGTCTTGCAGATCCTCCTCTGGCCAGTCTGCCTGCTTCCTCGTCACCCAAAATTCCCCTGTGCCCTGGCACCCAAGATATCATCAGGTTGTTGTGTTTTCCCATGTTTTGGAGATTTTGGATGCATTCACTGACTAGTATGTACACAGTGTACTCCCGATAATCCAAAAGTCTGCCTTATGTGGCACATTTCGGTTGGCGAAGTAGAAAACTTTCACAAGTTTTTGCATTTTCCAATGAGATCATTTTGGTCTGCCTAGCTGTTTTTTTGTCATTTTGTTTCAGCTCTTTGGTCTTCAAGGGTTTTAACCAAAATTATTATTAAAAACTGATGATAGTTAAAAGCTGAAACAAATCCGAACTGATCAGACTGATTTGACCTGAACAGCCCGAAATGATCAGAAACGACCAAATTATAATTTCCCCCATGCTTTTTCAAATGTCCCAACGTATTTTTCAACATATCAAATGATATGTCTATAATTCATTCGTTTCTTAATAAACCAGTTTTATTTTACTGTTAGTTCTGCGTCGTAGTTTTTCGTCTAATCCAAATTATTTGAAAACAATCTTCTAATTTTTCTGTTATTAACTCCAGCAAAGTAGAATTGCTCACAGAAATAGTTAAGGTGGATTGAGCATATCAATTAATTGAATGAAAACAAAGGTTCTACTCACAACTATTTCGCAATGATCTGGATTTTGAGCCCGTAAATGCTTGAACACTAAATTTTTATTCAGCCTAACAATGAGCCTTCTAGAGCGCGAAATCCGGATCCAACCAGTGGATTGTTAATATTCTATAAAAATAAATGATATACAAGGAATATTACTCTACAATTTATAAAATCAAACTTGTGAATTTAAGGGTTTTAAACCATTATTATTAATTGTTGTAAACAAGGAGCTTATGTAAATCATGTCACATCCACGCCAGATAAATAAATCTGATTAGCTCGATTATATCTCATAATCATCAGGTTCATAATGACAGAAAAAACCAGCGAGAAAGGCCAAAAGAACGATCAAAGATCATAAATCTAATTTATACACCTTAGTGCTTTAAGTTCATAAATTTAGACAAATGTAATATCCCACTTTTCTACTAAACAATTAAGTATGAGGCCAATTTGAAAAAAAAAAAGTTCAATCTCTTCATCAAGCTTTCGAGAATTATATCCCTTCATCAGAACGTTGAAATTATTAATTCCAAGCTTGGCTAATATAAAAATTTACTACATTGAAACTTAAGATTTCAATTGAACATTGAATATAATGTTCTACAAAAATATTTAGATGATAAACAATTACAATTAGTCTATGATTTATGAAACCAAACATAGATCATGTCCCATCCACGCCAGATAAATAAATCTCATGAGCCATGTTAGATTATATTAGTCTCTGACACCCTTAATCATTTCAAAACAACAGCCAAAACCTGCAAGAAAGGCCAATAAGAACAATAATAGGAAGCCAACCCATAAGTTCATCATAGATTTAGATATATTTCATAGATAAATTTAATAACTCTCAATTAAATCAATACTTGCATTAATTATTTTTGTTCTCTATCTTATCATTGTCAATTTGCTGTAAATAGTGTCAAACTTTCTTAATGTATAGCATTGTTATAAAATGACATGTAACATCACTTTTTTTTTTAGTTTGTTATTGTTTAAAAAATTTGGGTACAGTATATTCAAGGAATATTACTCTAAATTAAAATTAGAATTTAGAATTAAAATAATTTCAGTTTCCATGTTACTGAGATACTTTTGTAAGACATAATCTTATTTATTTATTTTACAGAGATGTTAGACAAAAACGTCAGGAATTAAACAAGCTAAGGTCTTTGATTGGGAAACCAATAACGCTGAAATTCCCTCAAATGATGGACTTGATGTCAAGATGTTCTAAAATCCCAGATGTAAAGCCACAAAGGATAAACAATATGCAATCCGATCAGCCAGTATCGCAGAACAGAAATCAACAATCGCTCCAACTCATATTGCCCGGTAAATTTTTAAACGGATGTCTACAGAAATATTTGCATGCGTGAATGTTAATTCTGCTTTCAGGGACGAAATGGTGTGGTACGGGTGACATAGCTGCAAACTATTTTGACCTCGGTACTCAATCCGAAATCGACAAGTGCTGCAGACTACACGATATATGCCCAGTGAAGGTTCATGGCTACTCTTTCAGATATGGAGTCAACAATACATCGCCAATTACCAAGTAAGAGAAAGAAAAAAGAAAACCAAGTGTGAAAAAAAGGAAAAAATCAATGAATAAAAGTATTTGTGCTTATACTTTTAAATGAAAAACAATTCAAAAAGTAGAAATACAGATATCATATATATATAATATTTGGGGCTATGCTCCAACCCAAAAGCTTTTGAAGAATAAAAACTGGTTGAATAGTTATAAAATTAAGGAATAATTACTAAACAAAACACCACCCTTCCTTCACACAGAACATACAAATACTCTTATCTATTTACGATGACTTGTCTGTTATAATTTATATATAAACATTATATCTTAATGTTTTTAGTTGAGATGAAAAAAAGTTAATGGCACGAGCAGGATTCGAACCCACGATCTTCGGCTAGATACGCCGCTGCTCTACCACTTGAGCTATCGTGACCTCGATCCACTCGGATATCAACTTCCTATCTCAACCCTACCTTATGAGTTTATGAGTTCATGAAAAATGGCAAAAAAGGAGGGAAAACTCATAAGGTGGGGTTGAGATAGGAAGTGGATCGAGGTCACGATAGCTCAAGTGGTAGAGCAGCGGCATATCTAGCCGAAGATCGTGGGTTCGAATCCCGCTCGTGCCATTAACTTTTTTTCATCTCAACTAAAAACATTAATTAATTGTAATGATTTAATTGGTCAAGCGGACCACGAAATTAGTGAATTTAAAGAATTATATCTTAATCCTGAGGAAGATCAATATAGATCAAAAGCTTGGCAAATTGTAAATTCACTGCTGACAATCCTGATCACTGCCCATCCTAAATTTCAAGTATAAATGTTAGTAAGATTTTTTGTTTTAAATTTGTTGTAAATCAGTGAATGGATGTTGAACCATTCATTATGTTCAAAGAAAGATTCCTCACTGAAGATGGCACAAAGTTTGAGTAATATAAAAAAACCGCGAGGGTAGATGGACCAAGTGCTGGTTCAGATTTTTTCTATATTTTCTTAAGATCTGCAATTTCTGACATGTAATTTTATCAGACAGAAGTATATATATTTACAAGTATTTCTTATTTAAATAGAGGGAAGCAAATAATCAATATTATTTTCCCACTTCACTGTCTCCTCCTCAGAAAGGAGGTCACAGGGCCATTTCCTCTTAAAACGCCTTATGGGGTTGGAGGGATGGGTTCTGTTGAAAAAGGCTTGGGCAAAACTTTTGAGGTTATGAGAGATTATGGTGGAAAATTTTTTGATAAATGGAATTTTAAGGTCATTGTGGACGGTAGTATTGTAGACATAATTTGGAACATTTATAATTAATCTGAGGACTTTAGGCTGAATGCTGATTGGAGACGTTGGATATTGGAAGGGGTTACCCAAAGTTCTATACTGATGTCCAAATCACTTTAATTTTTGTAGATTAAGTTTTTGTTTTTTGTCAATAGCTTGGATTATCATTCTATAAGTTTGTAGAGTAGACTGTAGCATCTGTTTAGGACTTGTCATTTCAATCGTGTATGCTGACTCCATGGTAAGCATAAGATTTGGTGGAACCCAAAGTAACGAACGAATTTTTTCAGATAGGAACATTGTTGTAGTAGATTGTCAGAGATTTGCTTTGGAGTCTAAAGTAATATGGATCCTCTTGGTTCCATTTATCTTCATTTTTTCTACACCAATCTGCTATACACCTGATATGTCCCTGCAGGTCCTCTGAAGCAACTGCACAATTGGGAGTTCAGAGGTAGTAGGTGTAATGGGAATGCTTGCAGTATAAAGGATATAGAGGAGTGGTCCCAGCACACTGCCCTGTTGTACTCCTGTGGCCAGAGTGCAGTATTGAGAAGAGAAGAACTGCTATGTTAGATAAGAGCAAATGATTAGGTATGGCACAATTGTGTAACATCAAGAACGGCTCCCAGACAATTTTCTTTTCATTCAAGGGAGAAAGATACATGGTTTACATAGTGGAACACTTGTGGAATGGTGAAAAAAGAGCCAAATTGATAATCGAGAGGTTAGAGGAGTTTAATTTTGGCAATAGTATTTGAGGGTATTTTTTTGTTTTTCAAATATATTGGATGTGATGGGAAGTAAACTAATTGGACGATATGATGCTTTGGAAAGTGGTTTGCCAGATTTCTGGAAGAGGATGATGTTTGAATATTTCCAATGTAAGGGAAAATGGATAGTGTGGAATATACAATTGTAAAAGTATCTGAGGAATATATTGGCTTTTTGAGTTAGTTGTGGGAGAAGTTGGGATATAATAAGGTAAAAACCAGGAGCCTTGCGATTCACTTGGATATACTTGACCAGAGCAGGTAGTTTTGCCCAAGGTATATTTACCCACTTCTTTAGACTTTCTTCTGTCATAGGAATTTTAAAATTTCTTTTTTACTTAGTGTATACGTCAGGGATTTGGTTGCGTTTATTGCCCTTTCCAGTGCTCGTTCAACAAGGGTTTGTTTTATTATATTTACACAAGGCACTTTTTAAGAAAAACATTATCTAAAAAAATAAAAATACAATCTTAATTAATTTTTATAATCTGAACGAATATAATTCAATAAAACAACTAAACAGGAACTATGAACAAATATATATTAAATTGTGATCACATCACCCACAGGAAAACAAATTTATGAAACTTTGACATCGACACAAGAAGATGAGGTGATAATAAAAAGTAAAAACATTTTTGCTCTAAACAATATAAAAGTTAAAATATTGGATGCAATGTTATCTCTCATTGTACAAGTATAAAACGCTTAAATGATATATATATTTTTTTTAAAGAAAATTTAGAAAAGAAAAAATATATATTTTTAACAGCCATGCTTCTTACTGATATTTTTCAAACAAAAACAAATAAACTAAAAAATCCCTTAAATTTGATTTCAGATCCCACTGCAAATGCGACCAAGAGTTGAAGCGTTGCCTGAAAAAAGAAAATCAACCTATAGCAAATTTAATGGGCCAGATTTACTTCAACGTAATCAAAATACAATGCGTTTCTGGCACTGTACCAAACCTGCAAGTGTTAGATCAAGGAAAATACTGATTGTAAGGCACAAAATCATTCATCATCTTCAACAAGATCATATCCTTGGGGCTGCGGAATGAAACGTATATACATTCAGCCACTGCAAGTCCCTTGCCCTCGTTATCAACTTTTGCTGTACATCAGGAGAATCATGTCTCAACATGGTGCCCAATACCCAGAACAGTTCTTTGCAGAGGTGTTTGTAACTCGAGTTCATAAAAATTCTCATCGTCTTTAACATTATCTCCCAATTGTCGAGTATAACATTAGCGGTATATCCGTTAGCATCTATGCTTAAATTGCCTAAAGTTCTGACTTGTGCAGTCACAGACATTATATTCTTAGAACACAATGATTCCAGTTTGTCCAAATTGTAGATTATCGTTCCAGGGATCTCTTTCTCGAGGAGTTTCGGTATAATATACTTTACTGAAGATAAATGATATAAAAGCCATTGGACGTGGACTGATGACACAAAATATGGATGCACTGAATTTACTACTGCTAGAACCTCATCATCCCTGCAAACAAAACAAAGAATTATCCTTAATGTTAATTCTGAAGATTAATTAGTGTAAATATGTTGTACAATTTTTTATAACAATTAGATTTTACAATTTAGCCTATTCCAATCATCCTTTTATTTGATCCTTTGCTGTTTGATAAGTCTGATGTGTTGCGACATTTTCACAAGCTAATATGGTGGGTTTGAGTTAAACTTGGTCAAATTGGCAAATCCACTACTGAAGATGGCGAAATGTCAAAACAAACCTGACAGATCAAAACATCATGGTTAAGCAGACCAGGATGAATTGAACAAAACAGAATTGAACTAACTAAATGTTTATCACCCCACAGAGCTCAAATATTTGTAAATATTTTTATTTATTAATTTATATTTTCCTTGTTTTATACTCTATTGTAAATATTTATACTTAAAAGCAATCAATAAACTGGTGAATATGAGTCAATTCCAATGTGATTTTGAGGAAATAAGTAAATTGTACACAATTGAACAAATTAATTAGGTAATCAGATTTATTCTTATATATATAAATAAATGTTGAATTATAATTTTTTTAATAAAATCTAGAAATAAATCAATGCTGAGCTTTAGTTTTATTTTATTCACTTACTTCAAAGTCATTTTAAGGCTTTTTGTTAGCATGACGAGCGCTTTCGCTGTTAGCTCGCCTAGCTCAGGAAATTTGATTGTCCTTTGAAATGCTTCCAAAATTCCTTGGGAGTAGAGAAGCCGGCTTGTTTTTTCACCAGTGCCAGCCAAATTGCTCAAAGTCTCGATTGCAACATCCTACAAATATTTTAACAAATTATCTACCTAGGTAAGTATATAAAAGCAATTTTCTTATGTGATTGATAACCCTAAAAACTACTGAACCAGTTTGAAAATTTCATGTTTTTTCTTATTAATACAAGGATTGTTTACAAAAACTACTGATTGAATTTCATTGATACAAAGGTACGTACTTCACTGCTATCTTCAGTAGATGAAACAGTGGTGTAGGTCAGAGGCCTATGGCCTCCTGAGATCCTAAGCCCAATCATCAGAATTGGAAAAAAATGCTCTGAGTTTTCTCGTTTATTCAGTTTAGGATTACTGGTGAACATTCGTGGACCAACAATATTCCAAAATTTAAGAAAAGTTGATAGCCGGTTGTGTGCAACATAAAGAGAAGCTCGGGGGATCGAGGTCACAAGCGGTTAGAGCACTGGCAAATTGAGACGAAGGTCATGGGTTCGAGTCCCACTTGTGACACTAATTTTTCTTCTCAATCATCTTTGCATAAAAATTAAAATAAGAAATAATACTTAATCTTTCAATTAATTAATCTTTACGTAAGGTATTGATTGAGATTAAAAAGTCAATGTCACGAGCGGGATTCGAACCCATGATCTTCGGCTAGATACGCCGCTGCTCTACCACTTGAGCTATCGTGACTTCGATCCACTCGGGCACTAACCTCCCATCTCAACCCCACCTTTTGAATTTTATCATTTTTCAAATGTCATGTAATCCATTTGATTCTCGGCGACAAATGAAATGGCCACAGAGAGCTTTAGTGAAGGTATACTTCATTTAAATTATTAAATTCATTAGATTTCGTGGTCCGATTGACCAAATAACATCTTTCAATTAATTAATCTTTATGTAAGTTATTGGTTGAGATTAAAAAGTCAGCGTCACGAGTGGGATTCGAACCCACGACCTTCGGCTAAATGCGCTACAAGCTGCTCTACCACTTGAGCTATTAAAATATTTAGCTATTATTATAGCAATCTCAACCTATACCTTACATAAAGATTAATTATTTGAAAGATGTTATTTGGTCAATCAGACCACGAAATCTAATGAATTTAATAATAATTAATGTAGAGAAGCATGACAAAAATTGTGTTAAACTGAAAAGGATGAACAATGGTACAGTTCACTACCTGATACGACAATTTCTGCTCATCCAAATTAACATGCTTTGTAGCAATCAAAATATCAATATGTGCACCATAAAATTGGAATGAATTATGGGAGAAATTTAAAGATTTCATGATCTTTAATGCCTCAACTTCATAAAAGATGTTTATACCTTGCAATTTACACAAGACAATATAATGAAGCATTTTGAACAAAAACAAATCTTTCATAATCGTTAATAATTGTCGCAACTAGGAACGACATCACCTAAATGAATAGCTAATGACATATTTCATACTGAATTACAAGCAAAAAATACTTCAACATCAATGAATTAAATATATTACAATAAAATATTTAAAAGTTACTTCAAGAACAAAAAAAAGTTTATGATGCGATATTGCAAGTAACAAAATATTATATGTACTTCCCGTGTAGGAAAACCAAGTGATTGGTTGGTGTATATGCCAACTGGGAACCAAATCATCAAAAACACTGTGTATCCGAGAGAATTGTAATGAACTTAATGTTTAATAGAACAGTACTTACAATGTATGTAATTCAAACCCCAAAAATAATAAAGTATTTAAAATAGATGTAGCTAAATTACTTAAGATATTTTTTGTAAATATCCTAACTGAGCAATAAGCAAATGCCTGATGTTTTTCTGTGACAATAGAAAGTATCATTCACTGAAGAAATTTAAGTAGAATCAGTTTGTACCATTTTTGCCACATGAATAATAATGAATTTTATAAAAGCTATAAATGACCTCAGGCAATGACTGATTGTGCCTGTAGCAGACTAAAGCAAATAAAACATTCGACTTGGCCAATGTGGTTCATCTCCTCTTGAATCTGTATTAAACCTTCATCCTGGTTTGCTTCAAATAGCCTAGAGCAGCCTCAAGGTGTTTTGACCAATCCAGTGTGTTTCAAGCCTAAAATTTACCACTTGCAGTATACTATGCAAACATTTAATGGCCCTACAATGGCCATTATGTGATTGGCATACAGTGGCCAATGTGTGATGACAGTGGTGAAGGATGGCTTTGGGTGATATAACATTTGAAAAATTGACATTCACATCACGTGGATAAACTGATTCTAAATATTTTGACAACCGACAAGAAGGAAACTGCCATCTATAATGATAATGAAGCCTGTCAGGTTACAAATTCTACCTCTTTGGCAACTACTTGAGGGCAAAATGATATTTGGATTGTCTCGTTGAGCTTTGATAACGGGCAATGAGGAGAAAAGTATGACCTATAATGCTGATAGTTCTGGCTTCAGATTTTACTAACAATCTGGGGCAAAAATAACACTGAATAATTAATATTAGTAAGTACTGAATTACCATGATTATATTTTATGTGAAAAAGAAGATTGCATTTCCTTAATTGAATCTAACATCATTCCTATTTCTTATGCTGCGTTTTTCTCTTCATTGTGAAAGCAAAGTAGTAATAATTTTAGAATTATTTTAGTTTGCAATGTTAGAAGTGTCAATCACTTTTTCTCTTACAACAATCTGGGATCAAAGTATGGTCTTGAACAAAAAACCAAATTCAGTTGTTACTGCCAAGCTTTTGACTTATTTAAAGACCATACCTTGATCTAGAGTGTTCATGAGTGAAAAAGTAATCGATACTTCTAACATTGAAAAGGTGCATTATGAAGCAAAACAACTTGTACGAAATAACAAACAGACTAACCACTTAAGATGTTGAAATGCAATAATGCATCTAAAATGTCAAAAAAGCTTATAACAAAGATGGTTGGAAACGACCAATCAAGAACCTTTTTATTTTTTTTTTTTTTTTTTTTTTTTTTTTTTTTTTTTTTTAGATTTTGCATAAATAGATTGATTATTATAAAACAAAAGACCATACCTCATCCAGAGTGATTGTGAATTATTTTAGTTTCATTTCTTTTATTTTAATAACATTCATAATTATAATATTGTTTTTTTTTAAACAATGTTGTCCTTTTAACTTTTATATTATTTTTAGTTTCAACGATTTTTTGAATGTTTTAATTACACTTTGTTTAATAATCAATAAAACTAAAATTATTCAGAAATCGTGAGAAGCGGTCTGGTGTGTTGTAGGTTTCAGAAAAACATTTTCTTTATCGTGCCAACGTTTCGATCTTTATTGAGATCATCTTCAGGGCCTGGGATTTACAAACATTGTTTAAATTTAACAAATACATGTAGGATGTGGAAAAAAGTGAATTTATACAATGCAAAAAAATATATTTTTTATATTCAATCAAAGTATTTCAACTCACTCAGAGTTTGTTTTCTGCGTAAGTGTGCCATTCTTGCGTCTCGTGTTGAGATGGGCACTCTCAACACGACACGCAAGATTGGCACAATTACGCAGAAAACAAACACTTTGAGAGAGTAGAAATACTTTGATTGAATATAATTTTTTTTCATTGTATAAATACACTTTTTCCCACATCCTAAATGTATTTGCTAAATTTAAACAGTGTTTGTAAATCCCAGGCCCTGAAGATGATCTCAATAAAGATCGAAACGTTGGCAGACAAAGAAAATATTTTTCTGAAACTTACCACCAGATCTCACGATCTCCAAAAATTCATTAATTAACGGTCCCTGATCACCACAAAAATCAATAAAACCATTAAAACAATAATTAATTTTGAATTTTAAATACTAATTATCCCTGGTTCCAAGAGAAAATCGCATTTGGGTCAAAATACATAATAATAGTAAAATTTACTACATGGATATTTATGCTTGTTTGTTAAATTTGTATGTTGTCTGTTTCTACCATAAAAAAATAATAGAGAGCAAACTAACTTAAAATACCGAGAGCTAAAATATGCAAGGAAAGTGACACAACTAAAAAAGGTGTAGTTCAGCTGGATATTTAAAGTTTTGTTTTTGCAGTCTTGGACAAACAAAAGAGAATATTGATAGATGATGATATTTTTTATTGCCAACAACCCTAATTGTGCATACTTAATATATAAGTAAAAAAAGTAAACTTCCATCTGTCTCTCCTGTAAAATTTCCTTTTTTTTTAGCTGTGGCACTTTTCTTGAGGGTGTGCATATACTGTTAACACTAATTTGTATAAATAGGTTTTTGTTTATTTTTGTAATGTATAAAACTATTTGTGAGCTCACAATTCCTGCTCACAAGTTAAACTTACTAAGAGCTGGCTGTTCATTGTACATTATTTTGTTCTACGTTAACATTTAAATTTTTTTGCTTTATTTAATGTTGAGCTAATTAATTCTTGTCGTGTCTTGTCATTCAAGATTGTCAATGGATGATTATAAATGATAATAGCATGGTTGACTTCTTACCATCAGTTTATAATTGCAACCTTGTAGTATTGTGATGAGGTATGGGGTTGCCGCCTTCGCCAGCTTGTAGCAGGTTTTGCCGTCGCCTAGGGAAAGGTTGCAGCAGCATTCCGTCGCAAGCAATTGTTCATAGGAGTTTCTGCCTGAAATCCTTACATTTAATATAAAGTTTTAAATGATAATACAAGAAGAAACTCACTTAGCAAGTATCCGACCAAGGAGTGCAGAGCGCCTTCAATCTTCATGAAAGCGACGATGAGCGATTCGTCCTGGATGAATGCCGCTTTGAGCACAGCGAAGGCGTCTTCTTTGTCCTTGCCATGTCCCACTATGCAAGCGGCCGCCTTGACCACGTCGCTTTCCCCGTAGCTTTTCTGCAGTTGGAACTTAGAACTTAAGTCCCTGTGCATGTCGAAAAGCTCTTGTCTTCGCTTGATCCTCTCCTGGGCAGCGTTGCTTCTCAGCTTGACTCTGATGTTTACAGACGGGTTTTCCGTCTCTTCGGCCATCCTGTTCTGACCCACTTTAATCCTCTGATAATCCAATACACAAAAATAACTAAAGGATTAGCCTAAGTGATTAGAAGGATAACAGCCCGTTCAACCTTCTCCATGCCTGGAATGCTGGAATCTGGATCTCGATGTACTCCATAAGTCCATATCGATATCTATTGGCAACGTAATAATCATAAAATAAAGGATCTCATAAAATACTACTGAATCTATCAACCTCAGCAGTCAACCTTTAAGCGAAGTTCGTCCTTGTTACGGGTCCGCATAGTCTCGCCGTTATCGGCAGCCAAGTTTTGATATAAACCATTTTTCATCAGTATAATTACTCTAGGTTGTTTATTGATCAATTTGCAACATCTTTAACTAATATTTAAGAAAAACAACTTTTATTACTAATTTGATTGATCAAGTATATAAAACAAGTATCCGTCTAGGCCCATTTTTATTTTATTGATATATTTTTTCAGGCTTTTTTGCAATTCAACTAAGCTTCTTCAGTTCCATTTACATTTTACTTATGTTTAATAATCCTTTATTTTTTCTTCAGTTTGTTGGAACCCGGAATCCGCTGTTGACTTTAAATCAACTTAAAACAATAAAGTTTATGCAAGTTACCTTAGAGTGTTATTATTATTCCAAGAAATAAAATGTTATTCTGAGTTAATTCGACCTTAATAATACTGGTCCGCCTAGTCTCGCTGTTGCTTTTTTGCTAGGCTACTACAAAGCCATCTTCAATTCAACTACACTTCTTCATTTACATTTACATTTACATTTTACTTATGTTTAATAATCCTTTATTTTTCCTTCAGTTTGTTGGAACCCGATCAAACTGGTCCGCGAAGTTTCGCTGTTGATCTTCAATCAACTTAGAACAATTCAATTTATGCAAGTTACCTTACACTGTTATTATTCCGAGAAATAAAATTTTATTCTGAGGTAATTCTACCTTAATAAGACTGGTCCGCCTTGTCTCGCTGTTGCTTTTTTGTCAGGCTACGACAAAGCAATCTTCAATTCAATTACACTTCTTTAGTTCCATTTACATTTACGTTTAACTTGTTTTGCCATAATCTTTGGATTTTCGTTCACTTTGTTGGAATCCGGTGAAACTGGTTCGCAAAGTTTCGCTGTTGATCTTTAATCAACTTAGATCAACTCAATTTATGCAAGTTACCTTATAGTGTATTATTATTCCAAGAAATAAAATGTTATTCTGAGTTAATTCGACCTTAACAATACTGGTCCGCCTAGTCTCGCTGTTGCTTTTTTGCTAGGCTACTACAAAGCCATCTTCAATTCAACTATACTTCTTCAGTTACATTTACATTTAACTCATGTTTTGCCATAAACTTTTCTTTTTCGTTCACTTTGATGAAATCCGATCAAACTGGTCAGCTAAGTTTCGCTCTTGACCTTTAATCAGCTTAAAACAATACAATTTATGCAAGTTATCTTATAGTTAGTAATAATAAACTTTTATTCTGAGTTGACCTCAATCATACTGGTCCGTCTAGTCTCGCTGTTGCTTTTTTTGTCAGGCTATGATGTATAATTTTGAATTACTACGAAGACACTAGTGCTTAAAGAAGAAGTATTCGTTCTTGTTTTCCAATATCACCTTGGTCCATTTAGTCACGCTATTATTTATCTTCTTAAATTATTCTTAAGTTTTAAAATTTCAACCTTCAGTTGCGTCCATATATCCTGACAAAATTTTTTGGGGAGTTATGTAACATATGCCATGAGGTACTAAGAGCTCATGTCGGTGATATGGAACTGGAAACAAGTCAATTTGAAAATTAATTTTGATCTTATCAACCTCCTCAGGATCAAGTCCCAGGCGATAAGACAACAGTGATGAATGTTAATCCTAAGTAAACTGTTTTGTTCATTATAAATGTGTTGAATGAATTGCGCCTATTTTTATTTTACATATAGTTTTAATTTGTTCAATTTGTCAGTTTATGACTTTACCTGCCGGGTCATAATATTTTGTGTCTGGGCATTGTATTCAAGCATATTTGCCTATAATATTTACATTTCATCTTTGGTCGATTTCTCGTTGTCTAGTTGTAAGGCCTAAATCAGCTCCTATTTGAATTTTATATTATTAGTATTTATTTAGTATACATTGATTTTTATACCACTAAGAAAATTAAACATAAAATATTCAGCATGACCCCAAAAGTTGACGTTACTAAACCAGAAGGGCAATTAGGAGGTTTGAAAGATGATCTATGTATACAATTGTACATGTATATAGATTTGTCACGTGTTGAAAACATGTGTTCCTTTAGACAAACAATATCACTGAAGTAGCAATTATTTCTTTATAAATATGTCTGAAACGCCCTCCAAAGCAAGTAATTACCATTTATACTCTGCGATGTCCGACCATCGGTACGTGAGACTCGCCAATACTTGCCTTCAAACGACTAATACTAGAAAAAAACACAAAAAAACCAACAAGATTTTTGTATTTTTCCAGGAAGATGCTAGATGATTATTTGATAGAAAGGTTCTCAGACGGGACTATGAAAACTAAAATAATTGCGTTCGTTGTTGTCAGCTTGGCCATACTCGGAGCGATTGCGATCATATTCGGTATCATATTCGCCCTAGAATCGATGGTCTGTATATTTTTCCTCGGGGGCTTCTGTTTTAAAGTTAATTTGTTTATTTGCTAAGATTCCAGACAGATGGAGGAATAATACCGACACTCACAAAGGGGATCCACTGCGTGATATCGAAGATTAAACCGAATCCGTTCAACAAACATATAATAATATTAATAAATATCAATTTATAAAAATATTGAACAGTATAGATTGGTACTGGGAATTACCACCAGTTTGTTGGCCCTCCTTGCTCTTCTCTTGAACACCACTCTTCTTCGCTGTGTTCTTGGTATTTTTACTTTTTTCTTTCAATTCAAGCTCTAAATTTTAATTATTAACTTTAAAATAATACCATATTAAATTATAGAAAACTGTAGAATTTGAAGGACTTATAGTTCGATCGTCTCGGATGGTAAAACATTGTCTGCATGTTCTCTGTATTTATGTAGGTATTTTTTGTGGTTGAAACGAACTGTTCACATGTGGTATACGCAACTTTGTATAAATAAAGGTAGACTGTCTGACCAACTTTCAAGCTCGTTTAGACCGGCCATGCAAATAATTGGCTTCGAAAGAGCATAAACATAACTAAATAGGTTTTCTTAGATTTTAAGCAATATTTTGATTCTAAAGGAAAAGTTTCTTTCTCTGATTTCAAGGTAGTAATAATAAGATTTTCATTAGGGAACAGTCTGTAATCGAGTTTGCTTGATTGTAATGTCCTTTTTCTCGTATTAAGCCCATAATGAATTAGTTGTTTTAGTTTAATTTATTGCTGAAAGTTAGAAGGTGAAAAATAATCGCAAAGACCAACTTAACTCCCTGATTTCAAGGTCATAGTAATAAGATTTTCATGAGAGAACGGTCTAAGATCGAGTTTCTTTGAATTTAATGTAGTTCTGTCGCATTGAGCCCATTATAAATTAATTGTTCTATTAGTTTAATTTATTGCTGAAAGTTCAAAGGTGAAAAATAATCGCAAAGACCAGATTAACCCCTTCAAGTCAACGTCATAATAATAAAAAAATTAAGGAAAACCGTTTAAGGCCGGGTTTTTTTAATTATAATGTACTTTATAATTTAGAAATTGCGCACTAGGATACCTTCGTTCACAAGGGGCTGAAAAAATGGTAGTCATAATCCGCTCCTATTCACTATTTAAAAAAAAAATACGCGGTAAATATTTATAATTTGTTGAATTCGTGAAGAGCGGCCAATAATGAGGCAGTTTAGAAAAACGCCTTTTTCGTTTTGTTCCTACGTTTCGACCATTATTCGGGCCATCTTCAGAGACTGGGTAAATTACAAACATATGTTGACTGGAAAAAAATACAACACAGATGTAAAAATAATTTTGAACGTAGTAATTCATATTCACATAACTATTCTTGTGGTGCCATATTGGTTTTGTGTGAAAATGTTGTGAAACGTAAATTTGTATTCTTGCTGTTTTTATACGATTTTGATAGGGTGGGGGACGCGGTAAATTTGGGAAAGTCTCTTTAATCATAAGAATTTCACTTTACCCTTTCTCATCAAATACATTGATCACATTCTAACAGTACTCTCAGATCAAAAATAAACAACATTAAACACATTTCAAAACTTTCATCCTCGCTTACAATTCACACAGTTGAAACAGAAAAAAAATACCTCTCCGAGACACACTCGTAATAAGGCAAACAGAAAGCACATTAATTACAGACTGGTACCAAAAATAATGAATTCTGATCGCTACCTCAATCATCACACAAATATTAAAAACGGCTAAAGGATTATCACACAGAATCGGATCCCATGAAGTCACGAATCCTTTCACGTAAAAAATATTCAAACATATAAACCAATCGTATAATCAACAGAATCATAAACAATTATAACCAAGCACTACCCAACACATCTCAGTAAACAACACATCATCAACCCAATCACCCAAAGACAAACCGAATACATGTCCATTCCATTCGTCCAAACATTGACACACAAATTAAGTAACATTCTTCTCAGAACATATTAAAATGGTTTTTAAAAACCATAAAAAAGTACACACACTTGTTTCCAAAGTCAAAGACTCAACACCAACAGCCTACAGGCAATTTATAAAATTAATTGTATGAACTGTCCAGTAACATACATCGGAATTATAGCGCAATATCTGGACAAAAGGAAAAAACAACACATCTATGACTGTAAAACACCTAAAAACCAATCTCACAGCATTGTCCACACACTGTTTTGAAAACAACACAACTCTGATTTCGACAAAATACAAATACAAACTCGAAAAAAAATATAAACGCAACTTTCTAGAAATGGTTTATGTTAACAAAGACACAAGCAGCATTAATGAACAGAAACGCGCAAACTCAGTCCTAGGTACCTCAACATCATAAAGAAAATAAACTATTAAACCTTATTTTTATATTTCCCATTCCTTCGTTATCATCCTTAATAATAAACTTCCTTTCCAATATTGAATGCCGAGTACAGAAAATCCTCTTTCTCGACTTCCTTTGATTTAAATACAATCGCCTATGATCAAAGAGAATTGTCCAAATTTCCCGTGTCCTGTCACAATCATACAAAAAACAGAATATAAATTCGCGTTTCACAACACTTCACCCAAAATCAACACGACACCCCGTGAATAGCACCATACTTTATATGGATATGAAATACTTTTTTCAAAATTTATATTTACATCTGTATTGTATTATTTCCAATCAACGTATGTTTTGTAATTTACCCACGCTCTGAAGATGTGTAGAACGTCGGCAAAAAAATGAAAAAGGTGTTTTTCTAAACTACCTCATTCTTGATCGCTCCTCACGAATTCAACAAATTATGAAACAACCGGTCACTAAGAAACACAAACAAATATTTATTTGTTTCTATTTACAATATTTTGATATGATCAATTACAAAATAAATCGAAGTACATATTTGTTTAAAAATATTTATTTTACATGTTTTAAAAACATAAAAGAGAGCAAAATTAAGTAGGTTTTGTGAAATTTAAATTTCGCACGTTATTAACTTGTTGAGCTTGGGCGAGATAATTTAAATAGCCTTATTTTATATTGATTAAATCAATATAATATATTATATTATCAACAATATGTAATACATTGTAATATATGTACATAAAATTATGAGAAATGGTTAAAAGAGAGGAAAGAAAATTTGCAAGAAGGTGTGATAAAATGTCGCTGTTTACGATCTACATATGTATATGAAATTAATTTAGACTAATAAAATTGTTCTATTAAGTAATAAGTTATATTTTAGGATGAAAAATTAAAATTTACAAGTGGGTTTTTTTTCCTATAAGAAAATATAACAATTCTCACTCCACGAACAATAAAAAAATTTCACTTTGACATCAGACTATACATTTTTTGCGAGCATAGTTGGTAAAGGAAATTAAAATTTGTAATTATAACCATAATGTACAAATAATTACAAAAATGTTTCAGTTTATAATGTTAGTTTAAACAAAATTTATTTTAAAACATGTTCAGCGTACATAAAATATAATCTAAATTTGTCACTATTTTTCACCGTCAAATATCATAAAATATAATTTTATTGAAACAAAAAAAATGTTTTAGCTATGTATTGGGTTGAAAAATAAGTCCGTAGCGTTTTTCAAAAATTTTGATTTTATATTGTGTTTTGAAGTTTTGTATAAATTTAAAGGAAAAACTGAATCTCAGATGCTAGGAAAATTTGTGATGCGTATGATGATGAGGCTTTAGGGGAAAACACCGTTTGTACGCGGTTCATTGGTTCAAAAGTGGAAATTTTTATTTGGAAAACGCGACGCGATCTGGGTTTTAAACAATTGATGATGACGAAAAAACGACACGAGACATCTAATATATCTCACAAGCATTTCAAGGCGTCTGAGAGCAGATGGATTTTTTGACGGACATGGTGACATAATTTATTGGATTCTTCTGCGATTCCCTCCTAATATGCAAAGTAAACGATCCAATTTGAAAGACTGCTAATTGAGGTTGACAAGTTCTTTACAATAACGTTCAGAAAGGAAACGCAACGACACACTCTTAACAACAGTAAGAATTGTTGTGTATTTGGTGGAGTTGGAAAAGAGTGCTTTATTATTTTCGTCTGCCCAACCAAAAGAATTGTAGGTATTAAAGTCAGCAATTGATCAAAAACGACCAGCATTAACTAATCTCCAGGGAATTGGGTTTAGACATTGTTGGGGTTGACGCGGTTTAGATTTTGATTTATTTCGGGCTCTGGAAAGTTATATTAATGGGAAAACTTACTTCACTTGAGGACTCCGAAAACACATCGCTCATAAACCTGATAAGTTCTGGCAGGAGTGAATTACGAAGCATTATTGGGGGGGGGGGGGGTTAAAGCATTGACCCAGCGTTCATCTATAACATAAAGGCCCCGGGTTCGAATCCAGCGGCTCTGCATTGGAACCCGACATACTTACAATGGGCATTTTGATATGACTTCTGCTGTTGCAAACTCTCGTTAATAGAAAAAAAATAATCTGAGGAACAAACTGGTTCATTTCTGATTAAATTTGTTTATTTGTCAGAACTTTAAATTTTTTATTGAATGTACCATCAAAAAACGCTACCCGCTTGTTTTACGACCCCGATACATTTGCTTTTTAGTCTACATTTATAAAAAAATAACTAAATCTTGTATTTCTATCTTTGGACTTAACGATTAATTCTTTACAAAAATGATTTTTTTTAAATACAATACTAATGCCTATTACATAATTGTTAAATTTTACTTTAATTTTATATACACTAATTATAAAAATTTATTAAAAGATTCTCAAATTCTAATGTAGAAAGAAATATTTATTTGTTTAAAAATAAAAAATGAATGAAAAAATTATACAATTTAGGAAATTAATTGGGATGAATTAAGAAAAGCAGATATATTCTCAAAGTTACAATCTTAAAAAAGCTACATGACTTCACAGAAATCAAAAGACACCTGAAGATGGCGAAGTGCCTTAAACGAAAAATAAAGGTTTTTCACCTCGCAGTACTTAGGGAGAAATCTCACAATATTGAAAAGTAATAATTAACGCCAAAACTTAAAAAAGTCTGTACAGATGTTTTTCTTAATTGCAAAGTTTAAACATGCTTCAGTTATTTATTATTATTATGCAAAATTGACTTTAAAAACGTAATAACCTTCATCACATTTGTAAATTATACTTGTTTAATTGAATTTCTATAAGCAGTAAATGTAATTGTCTTTTTTTCTGCCTCACAGGATTCATTTTATTTACAAAAGGTTAGACTTTCCAGAGATTAACAAAAAATGCGTTTATTATTAAATTTTCATTTTAATGGAGCCAATTGAGTTTGAATAAAATAACAAAGATTTATCTATTTTTGAATCAGGTCTCTGTCTACTGATAAATATATAAATATACATTGTATAGTTATTAAATTTTTCAAGTTAATATAAATAAATAAATTTTTATTTTTTGTCAGACTTCAGCTGTGTAATGTAACAGTCTTGTTATAGGACGATTCTGACAGCGCTGATCGCTCCGAAAGTCGAGACGATGATCGCTGCAAATATGAGCATTCCGTCGAAGCCAGCGCTGATCCTGGCGCTGTTGCAGCCGTTCTCTTTGCAGCAGAAGAGGCAGAAGAGTTCGTCTTTCTGCATGTCGCAGCCGTCCAGGCCGAGGCCTCGGTTCATCATGAGGTCATCAAACATGCACGGGTAGAGGCCGCATTCCCGTTTGATTTTGTAGCCTTTCGAAGCTGAAAAGAGAAACGTATTCAAAAAACTTAGATTCTTCGAGTTAAGCACATTAACCGCTGAAGATTAACCACTCACGTTCTTTTGTTATGTGAGTGACACATCTGTCCTTGTTGGCTGGGCATGGAAGCAACTCTTCTTCAGAGCAAGGTTCTGGTGTTGTTTTGACGCATTGGTAGCAAGATAGATTCCTTTCCCCACTCGCTTCCTGAACTGAAACGTAAAAAAATACATTTTAAATAATTTTAATTAATACATTCAGTAGTAAAGTTGGTAGGGCGCTCATTACTAGGTAAATATGCTACAGTTTTCCAGACTGGAAATCTTAACGATTGAACACTGCTCCAGAGAAATAAAAAGGCTAGGAATACATTCTCTGAAGTTGTCATCTTCTCTGACAGTCAGCACTAACGCCCCTAGCCCCATGCGAGGTGAAGGCAAAGAGTGTTTGGAATGCATGGAGGCCCTGACGGAACGGTAAGGTTAACATGTTGGCAAAAGAGGGGGCCAACATGGACTCACTGGATCCTGAACCCTACTGTGGCAGAGCATCCTGCCACAAAACAGGATACATCTTAAAATGCATCCTTAACGAATCCAAAACCTGGTGGAACAATACCACAGGTATGAGGCACGCGAAGAGATTCATAGAAGGACCATCGACAAAACTTACTAAAGAATTACTGGAAGGCAACCGCAACCGAACAAGGATTCTAGTTGGACTCCTGACAGGACAGATATTCCCATCTTTACTCATGAGCGTTGAGACCCATGAGGATCTTTTATCCGGACATATTCCCAAGGGGACTTCTAAGACGCCTGGTGTCCCGAAGGAACACCAGGAAGATTTTACATGCATGGACTTGTCACATCCCCTGGCTAGCGAGGTAGTGCAATACTAGCCAAGTTCAGAGGTGCCCTGAAAAGGGCACATCCATACATGTGCCTTAAAAAAGGCAGTTTTGTGGCTTCCAGCACAGCCTCTCGGCTGTGCCTTTCACCACCCCCGGAGAGATAGAGAAGGCACTCTATCTCCGGCTCCGGTTGGCCGGTACCCTCCAGCTAAGGTACAATTTGTTTGCAAACCACGACCACCACGATCCAACCTCATTTAGCAGAGCCGCTTGGTACAGTTTTATTTTTAAGGTGGGACTGATGGCCGAACTCCCTACTGATTCACCCGTTGCCTGAGAGGTGCGGGTTTAGTAACCCAGGAACCCTCTGCCAAAGCAGAGGGGGAAAGGAAAGGAAAAGGGAAAAGGTAGGGAAGGGAAGGGAAGGTAGGGGGATTTGCCTCCATCATCGGTTACCCTCAGGCACTAGGGTTGATGGTGCTCTCAACTTGTTTGCTTATTGATTAAGTTATAAAGACAATATTTAAGGAAAAATGCCTAAAAACACAGCTTGCTTGCTACTGTGTTTCGATTCATCCTGATCCACCTACACACACACACACACACACACACACACCTATCTCTCTCTCTCTCTCTCTCTCTCTCTCTCTCTCTCTCTCTCTCTCTCTCTCTCTCTATCTCTATCTATCTATCTATCTATCTATCTATGTTTATGCATACGTAAAACCATAACTTTGGTATTTAATGTTTTGTGCGATGCAACTGAATTATCGAACATAAATTTTGAGTACTTTGGAGGTGGCGGAAATAATCCAACTATTTTTTTTTAATTACAATTAATTAAGGTTTTTAGTTGAGATAAAAAAGTCAATGGCACGAGCGGTATTCGAACCCACGATCTTCGGCTTGATACGCCGCTGCTCTACCACTTGAGCTATCGTGACCTCGATCCCTCGGAATTGTAATAAATTAATTGGTCACCACGAAATTAGTGAATTTAATGTATTAAAATGAAGTATACTTCACTAAAGCTCTCCGTGGCCATATCATTTGTCGTCGAGAATCCAATCCGATTACACGACATTTGAAAAATGGCAAAAAGAGGGAAAATTCAAAAGGTGCGGTTGAGATGGGAGGTTGGTGTCCGAGTGGATCGAGGTCACGATAGCTCAAGTGGTAGAGCAGCGGCGGATTTAGCCGAACGTCGTTGGTTCGAATCCCGCTCGTGCCATTGACTTTTTTATCTCAACTAAAAACCTTAATTAATTGTAATAAATTAATTGGTCAAGCGGACCACGAAATTTGTGAATTTATTTTTTTTAATTTTTATGTTATTTTACGAGAGTTCGCAACAGCAGAGGTCATGCAAATCCTCAGGGTGCCGGTGTTTTGGAACAAAATCCCCATTTGTAAGTATGTCGGGTTCGAATGCAGGGCCGCTGGATTCGAACCGGGGACCTTTACCTTACAGTAATGAGCGCCGAGTCAACGCCTAAACCGTTGCGGCCACCGACGCCTCTGTTTGTGTGTATATATACATATTATTTTTTTATTGTTTATCTTTATTAGCTTTTCATTAAATTTGTTTTTCGCGAAATAATATTATTTAGGCAATTTTTGCAATGTTCGGCCCTTGTCACCCTGGTCTACTGAGTCTTGCTGCTTTTTTATTCATTATTGGTATTTAAAATTTGTAAATTAAAAAATAAATATTTTATGGGCGTTTTTATAGTAAGGAATGGATGATTTTCTACATTTTTTGACAAGTTCAATTTTGAAAAACCAACATTGTTTGTTTTATTAAAGAGGTTATTTTTACATTTTTAATGCTTTTCCCGTGAATCATTTGTTTTAAATTTGAAGTAAAATTTAATCAAAAAACTTGTAGCTTGTTAAAGTAGTGAAGGCTCCAAGACGTCAAGGTTGTCAATCCCCGGAGTTTCTCCCGCCGTATCGATCCCAGCAAACCGTCGAACCCTTCAGTAATCGCCAATAAATTAATTATAAACGCCTCCGTACCGCGTAAAAGCGTCAGCGAATCGGAACCCAAATATGTTACCGAAGGAAATGCGAAATTCGTTCTTAAAAGTGCATATTTGAACCGAAAAAGTTATTTTTATTTAGAACTGAGTGGACGCAAGTTTCTAAAACGTTTACAGAAATATCAAGATAAAGGTTGGAAATATTTTAACAGGTTGTGCACCGCAAAAGTAATCCATAGGTGGAAGTGGAAATCGAATTGGGCTAGCTGAAATCTTTTAGCAAATTTAAATTAAATCGATAAACATTTTAATTTTAACTTAATTTTACTTATTTAATATTTTCCATTAATTACAGTAATGTATTATAAAAATTAATCATAAAATACGAATAAAAATACAAATATAAAAGCGACATAAAAGTCAAGGTGAATTTAGGTCAGTAAAAATTGATCGATCGAGTAAAAGATTTTACATATCAACCGTATATATTTTATATAGTATATACCATATTTTAAATATTCTACCGAATTACTTGGGCATAATATTAATTAACTAGAAACTCGCTAAAACATTTTTCCGACCGTCGAAAAAAAAAGTAAAGGGACAAAGGAAATATTCTCCTTCTACCCGATTCGTGAAAGAGACAAATAACGCCGATATCCGGCCCGGGGATCTCCTTTTAGGGTTGAGACCATTTTGGCTAACTTGATGGCGTTATGAGGGATCCGGCCAAGCTGGTTGAACGGGCCTAGGGCGGGTTGCCAGAAACGGTGCAAGGGTTGTAAATCACTTTTGCCCTTCTTCATCCGAGCCCTCGCGACCGAATAACCGCACTGATAAGATCTGACAACGGCCGCCTAATTTATCTCCTAATTTGTAACGCAATGGCAAAATTCTTTTACCTATTTGGTCCCGTTTTGAAAATTGTTAACTTTACACTCGATAAATTTTAAAACGGTGGATTTGGGGTCGTTATACAATTTAAACAGAATATACAGTCGACTTTTTGATAATTCGAAACCCAAGGAGCTATAAAATAATTCCAATTATCAAGAGGAAAGAAAAAAATTATTAAGAGTAGATGTACTTTTTTAATAGTTCTTACTTGCATTTTACATATATAAAAACATAATAATAAAAAAATAATATAAAAAAATGGAAATAAATCAACTGTAAAATTGAACCAAGTTATGCATTATTAAAAAAATTCATAAAGAGGTTTTTGTTTCAATGTAACCAGTGTGTTTTTTAAGAGACCGGTTGTTTAATTAGTTGGATTCGTGAGGATTCTTCTTTGTTCCTCACGAATCCAACAGATTAAATAATGGGAACAGTGTTCAGGACACATTGAAAAAACACTGTCCGCTGAAGGTAATAAACTGGAGAATATTCGAAGAAATTTTAGGCTGTGAGGAAGCAAAGAATACGTGATTATATAGTGGAATATTACAACAAAAAATTTCAAATTATAAAGAGAGGAAAAGGCTCTATTTCGGTTTCCACAATGCTCCCCATGTGTTATGAAAAATATTTAATATTACCCAGTGTATCGAAATACACAGAATTTTCTCGATTTACAAAAGTGACCTGTTGAGGAATTTGTATTATCGAGAAATTCGAGTTATCGAGTTTCAAATTAACAATAGTCGATTGAATTTGGTTTGGAATTAATTAGCAGGCGGACTATTGTAATTATAATTAACAACCATAAGTCAGTTTACGACAGTTCCATCAAGAAGAGCAAAATCAGCAGTTCTCGCTTCATTCGTAAAAAAGTAAACCCTCTGACTCTCTCTCACTCTCTATCTCTCGTTCTTTATACTCCTATCTCTTTTTTGATCTCCATCTTTCTACCAACCACTCTATTTCTGTCTCTCCCAATCACTCTCTCTCTCTCTCTCTCTCTCTCTTTCTCTTTCGTTCTTTACACTCCTTTCTCTTTTCTCTTTTCTGATCTCCATCTTTCTACCAACCACTCTATTTCTGTCTTCCCCACTCACTCTCTTTCTCTTTAAATTTCGTTCTTTTTACCCATTTCTCTCTTTCTATCTCTATCTCTTCTCTCTCTCCCTCTCTTTCTTTCGTTCTTTATACTCCTTTCTCTTTTTTTATCACCATCTTTCTACCACCCAATCTATTTCTGTCTGTCCCACTCTCTCTCTCTCTCTCTCGCTCACTCTCTCTCCCTCCCTCTCTCTCTCTCTCTCTCTGTTTTTATTTTTCTTTCTTCCTCTACTTTCTTTACTTTATTTTTGTCTGTCAGTTTTTTAATCATAGTTCTCGTTCACCTCGATCATATCTACCTCGCTCTGTTTTTATTTATCTATTTATAAACATTTCTTTCTTTTAGCGTTTTAGTCTAATTATAGCGTATTTA